GCCTTCTTCCCGCAGGCGGCCTTGCAACCTGCGCTGTGCCCGGCGCCGGGCCACGCGCAGCGCGGGCTGTGGAGGCCGGGCGCAGCTCCTCCAAAAGCCCAAGTGGTCAGAGCAACGGTGCTGTAACGATAGATTGACAGCCATAGCAACTTTAAGCAGTCGTTTCAGCCACCGGAGCCGCAGACACTCCCCATATCCACGGAGGGCCCAACTTGCAAGTTCCCATGCCCTCGTGTAATTGTGCCTGCGAATGCCAAGCATCCTCAACAAAATACCTTCGAAATCTGTGCCGACTTCCGCCCCGGCTTCCGTCCTCAATAACCGCCGAAGTTCGCAGCCACCGAGACCCCCGGCAGCACAAAGGTGAGCGAGCAGCCGCCTTTCAGAGTGCCCACTACTGGCTCAGATTCTCCCGAGGCTCGACAGGGCGACACCCCACAACTCCCTGGTAGGGAATGGGAATGGGTTATTGGGACTACTCTACGGGACTTTAAGGGGCTCTCATAGGGATCCCTTCCCCCATGCCCTACTAAGAACCAGGGAGACACAGACTCCCTGAAGGGATTGGCGAACCCTGCAATCGCTCCTCGGCGCAGGCGGGCTCCGCCGCAGTCGCTGAGTATCCGAGCATGAGGTCACCCCGCATGCACAAATCATCCCGGAAAAGAGTGGAGATTTTTTTTTGGAGGATCGGACTCCGCCTCACGCGACTGACAAAGTTTCTTGAGGCCTTCCGGGCTTTGATGTCTGGGCCGAAAATCTCACTGGCGCTGCTCCGTCGATCTGGTACTCTCCTGGGCTGACTTTGCAGCCCCGAGTGAGATCGGATGTAGAAGGCTGGAGCCGCCACGACATAAAACACCCCTCTCAAGGGTTTAGGGTTTAGGATTTAGGCCGTTATGGGCCAAAGGCTACTTCGAGGCTTGATGCAACTGTTGGAAAGATCGATAGGAACATGTAAGGACAAGAAGTCAATGACATATAACGGCATAAATATTCAACTGGCTTCTGACATCGTGCAAGGAGAAAAGCAAAATGAATCTCTCGACTACCTGTGCCTATCTTGATATAGAGTCATAGAGGTTGGAAACCGTGTTAATGACATGTGGGAAAAGGGCCTTCGTGAAATGGGGCGTGCCAGCCATTGGGTTAAGACAACCCACCTGCCAAGCGCACAGACAAACAAGCCAGAATGACTACCATTGATCATGTTTATATGAAACATAAATAACAAAGGGTGGAACTCAGTGCCAAAAGTATGCAAGATGCTTCAGTGTTCCGGATTCATTGCACCACACACGTTGGCAAGTCTCTTGATATCGTGCTGGCGTGAAGAAAACATTAGGGCTCGTACGTTCCGATCTGCATATAGGCATATGATCGGTTCTCAAACTAAGGGGATCGTAATCTAGATCCCAATAGAAGCTAATCCTTGCCATGGGGGCCTCAAAAAAAAAAGGTACCCCTACTTTCTGGTAGAAGAAGCTTTCTGCGAGATAGAGCTGCCCCGGAACCAAGCCCCCAGCACTTTTTCCACTGCACTGGAGCTCTTTTCACAAAAAGGACCAGCCTTGAGCACTTGTCGCGAAGTTCAGCTGCGCTGAGGGGTTGGGAGTCACAGGGTCCTTCAGCTCAGTCATCCTTGCCTGTCCTGCCGGTCGTCCACAAGCTTCGGGCTCGCACTGTGCCTTACAAAGGGCCCTTTTCTCGCTGGAACGGCGCATGTGTCGCGTATAGCAACTGATAGCTCTTCAATCATGAGCTCAGGACTTAAAGCAGCCTGTGGTGGCCGCCAGAAGTCTTCTCTTCCAGGGCCTCTGCGTCTTCACCAGGCTCGCGCCCGCTCCAAGGCTAAGAAATCTCCTCCACAGGGTGATCGCAGCCTCCTCTTTTGCGCCACGCACGGACTCCCCCTCCTCACTGTGTCCACGATATCTTCACGGGCATGCTCGAACTGCCTTGCCAAGCCATTCATGTCAGCGCGCGATGTTTCACGTTGGACCTTGCAACTCAACAAGCTCTTGTCTAATGAAGTTGATCTCATTCTGCGCTTGTGTGCCGACGTCACTCAGCTTCATGAAACCTTGCAGGGCCATCTCGGCCATCTCGTAGCTGATAAACGTAGCCCCCGACAAGCTTCAGATCGAGGTTCGGCGAGATGCTTTGCTTTCGCCCACAACCTCAGAACAAGCTTCGTTCTTGCTCCTTCCGTCACCTTCCGAAGAATTCTTGGGGGGGCGCCTATGGCCGATTGGTGCTGGAGTACTCCGGAAGTATTGTGAGAGATATCGAGCTGGATGCCCAATGCCACGGCTGTTTTGAAAGAGTCCTAGTTCAACCCTTCCACAAGTGACTCGTACGAATTGGTGACCTCACCAGAGAGCTGCGCCATCTCGTCTCGCTTGATCTGGGGGTTTCTCTCAGTCTCCCCGCTTCTCTCTGCCCGAGCTTGCGTTCGGAACATGCGCTGGCTCATAACCCATGCATTGCTCATGCATGCTCGCTGCTGCTTCATTGAAGGAAAGCTGCCAGCGAGTGCCACCCAAAGCAATGGAAGACATGACTCCACTGGGCTTGCGTTCACGGGACAAAGTACGCTGTTGAGTCGCCATTCCACACATAGAGAGCGCCGGTGCTCTGCAACCAAGTCTGAGCCACGCTGCAATTCAACGGACAGGCCTTTACAGTGTGTTGCAACTCACACGCCAACATTCTGCCAGCGGACAGCCACCTGTTTGGCGTTTCGTCGTCCTTGCTTCGACGGTTTCTATGAAGGAAAAGCTACACTCCCTTCCTCACGGTTTGGGGCTGCTGTTGCTACCCTAGCAAACGTCTGAACTCTTGCCGTGCGGTCTGCTGCTTCACAGATGAGCCGGTGCAGAGTTGCAAGTGACTTCTCGACAGGACCGGTGCAAACCGTTCTTTTGATCCCCCTCGCAGCCATTAAGATCTTTGGCTGCAGCCTGAGTCAAGGAGCCGGCATCTGAAAGCCTAAACTCAGTACGGGCGACCTGGTGACCGGTCTGAAACAACAGGTCTTGCGCAGTTTCTGTATACTTCTGCGGCTGCTGACGCTAGTGACTGCTAGTGTCCAATTCAAGCATGGTGGCGGCTCATCTGCTTGCGGCGATCATTGGCCACCTCATCGGCAGGTTCAACAACTTTCGGAGATTGAGGTCACCATCAATTCCATCTGTGCGACAGGCAGGTCGCCTACCCTCATGTAACGCGCACCTCTTTGGGAAAGGCTGCTCTTAGGTCCAAGAAGCACGGATTTTTACCTCATTCCTGACCATGCAAACTGAAACCAGCTCCCATGTCTACAAATGGAGGGGGGTGTCATCAGAAATCTGCAAAAGCTCTTTTCTGAATTTAACTTGTCGCCATCGGACTCCAAAACCTGCTTCCAAACGCTTCCAAACTCCTGACGACGAAGCTGCTGCTACAAGCGGAGGCTCAAAGCTACAAGCTTAGGCTCAAAGGCTCCGAAATCCAGAACTACCTTTGACGGACCCTGAAAAAGAAACCAAAATACTAGGACTGGGGTCCTCATTATTAAGGACCCCTAAATACTGTACCCGTCGCTCCAGTGGTGTCCCAGCTGCAAGAATCTGCAAGTGGGACAGGCGCTCCTGGGCATAGGCCAGCGAGTGCCGGGCATCCTCCCAAAAAGCACCAGATACTCCGCACACGGCTAGGAGGGTTCCAGTTCCAGGTTTAGGTCCGGTTCAGTGTTGAGACTCCTAAGACTACGGACGAGGTTGGAAGAGGTCGGAAGCTTTGCGGTGTAGCGTTTCCGGAGCTTCTCCTGATGCGCCATGTCGGTCACAAGATTTCGGATCCGCAAACCGCACCCCCACACCCTGAAACCCCCGCACAAAGTCCGAGCCCTCTTACGCCGCGCGTCAGCGGAGATCAGCGGAGATCAGCGGAGATCAGCGGAGATCAGCGGAGCACGGCTCTCTTAGGTCACGGTCTACTCGTTGCACCCGATGAGTCGCTACAGGGACGCACGAAGATCCTCGTGCAGACTCCACAGAGCGGAGGGAAACGGCTCAGAGAACGAGAAGCGGGATTGCGCACAAGGGAAAGTGAGAGACAGAAACAGACGGAGACAGAGACAGATGGAGAGAGCCGGAGAAAGCTGCAGAGAGAGATGGAGGGAGAAAATGCTAAAGAGAACGAGACACATAGACGACGATAGAGCCATGGAGTGAGGGAGGGAGCACACCCTAACCGTTCAAGCCGCCCAATGCACCGCAAGTCCTTACGACTCGATCCTGCCGGCCTGGAGTTCCTCAAAGAGTGCTCGGCTGAGGCGCGTGGCAAGGCGCAGAAGCTCCGACTCCTCTGCATACAGGTACATAAGAAGAGGCGGTGACAGAGACAGCACGTGTACGTGTGCATGTTTGTGTGCATCTACATACTTTTTAACGATACTGTGTTGGGCTATGTTCCGCTTTGCTACATCTTGCGATGTTAATTCCTAACCGTATTGTACTGTGTTACAGTATGTTAAGTTGCAACAAAAACGGCAACCTAGCACGTCCAGTGCACCGAGTTAATGAGACTACAAAAACACAGTGTAAGACAGGAGAACATGGTGAAATGAACTACAACAGAACAGACATAAATTATACATTGTCATACCACATCCTACCATGTCGCACATCATACCATCCCGCGTAATGCAATCCACTCTGATAAGAACACCATATACTAGAGTAAACAGCAATACGATATGACACGATACTATCTAGAAAAGCTATATGATCGAATCTACAGTTCTGCACACTGAAACATACGGTGATATACTATACTGACTATACTTCACGATACAAAAAGCATAAGCATAATTCGCAAAAAGACTTTCCCTACTATGGTTAGAGATACTGATAGATACTGTTTCATAGCATAGCATACAGTATGCCACTTTCTACTTTCATACACTGCAACATACTACAACTTTATAATGTACCACTGTGGATCCAGAATCGCGCCCAAGGCCTCACTCTTTGCATCTGCAACAGTGTTGAGACTGCACTGCCGAAAGATGTTCAAGCTGAGAGCCCGAGGATTCCGTGCGACAGTCAGAATCCTTGCGGAAACAGGGTTTAGGGTTCAGGGCCTAGGGTTTAGGGCCCCGGAGGCTCCTTGGCTGCAGAGCTCCGCTCAAGCTCGTAGAGGCCTGCACCCCGACATCCGTGCATCTCAAGCTCCGAGCTCAATGCTTCTTGGCCTATGCCCAAGGCAGAAACTCTCAGGCAGCCTGAGAACGTAACGGCTCACCGTGCTTGGGCTGATGCTGCTGTGTGCGCCGTGCGCCGTGCATGCGGCGCCCTGCCTGCAGCCAGCCGTTCCAGAGCAGGGTGCAAGCTCTTCCCGGCCAGCACCTCGGGAATGCATGCTCGGGTGCGGAGAAAAGGAAGGCTGGGTGTAGGCAGGTCCACCAACCTCGGCACCGCTCCATGATGGAAGGCCGAATCAGAGATTCGCGTCAACAACCCGACCATTTCTACAAGCCCGAAGATAAATTCCTCTTCCAGGCCAAGCACAAGCAGGGCATCGGAACGATAATGAGGATAATCCAATAAAGGTACCTCTAAGCACAACTAGCTTGTGCTGCACTAAGTCCCCTTCAAGTGGCCTGGTCAGGTGTCCCGGCTTGCCGAAGAGGCCTCAGCTGTCGACAACGAGAAGGGACCAGCACTGAATAGAGGGCTTAGGCACCTCTGGCTCTCAAACATCACTCCGGACCTCTCCACCGCAAAATCTTAGAACTATCCGCACCAGGTACATACTAACACCTCTGCTGGTGGCATGAATCGAAAACTCCCAGAGCGCGAACATATCACACCCTGCACACCCATGCATCGGGCCTCGCTGCCTCCGCCCAGGCTCGGAGGCAGCGCGCTGCGGCAAAGGCAACGCGCTGCACTGCACGCGTCCTGGGAGCAGCGGCGCGGCTCCGATTTTGACCCCAAGGGTGGCTAGATTTTTCAGACCAAGAATGTGGGAGCTCGAGTTCGACCGGAGCTTGTAACGTTACAGCCGACCAGCCGTCGAGACACACTTTGGCGAGTTTCCTTTCCAACGTGGCAGGAGGTCTTCAAAGAGGCTGCCAAGCACCGGACTGCAATGCTGGCTGCCGGCGCTTCCTGGGCTGCCTGCAGGGCTTTAGGGGAGGTAGAAAGCGGCAGCATCAGGAAGAGGAAGAGGTGGACAGGATGAAATAGAGCTCGGAATGAGGATGACGTTGACGACAGCACTGCCGACGAAGATGATAAGCACGGCTGACTCATATACTATGTCTGACGGTTTGTACGATTTACATCTACGCCTGCGACGCCTCCATCATGGGAGGCGCGACGTAAGTCATGTCCCCGAGACGCGGATCAAGATCTCTTCAGAGGCTGTCACTAGTCACGGACATGCACTACGTCACTACCTGATAAACTCCAAACACATCGATGTCAGATGATGGCAGACTAGGGATTCTCTACCAGGATGCTCACAGACAGCCTTCCGCAAGGACGGAAGAAATGAGCCTGGCCTGGTCAACCCCACCCAGGCATCCCAGACGCAAGGCATGAGCCTGGCTGTCTGGAAGCACGGCATGACTTCCCAAGCGGCGACTTCAAAAGGCTTTGCATGACTTGGAAGAACGGCTGACTGTAGTTGAATGAGCCCTGTCGCCCTGAACATCTTAACTGGCCCCGTCTGCAGGCACACCGCGTCGCCCGAAAGGTCGGACTACAAGCTTGGTATGTAAAATATACAACAGCCTGGGCACTTGTGTTTCCTTGCCCACAACGCTAAACCAGACGAAACGATCCACGCCTCTGCTTCGGATCACTGAGCCGCCGGAGGTCAGCCTGCTCAACGCAATTGGGAAACATGCTCTCTCCACCGGGTTTCTCGCTGGACAGAAAGGCGCAGCGCGCACAAAACAGCTGAAGTCACAGCGTGGCCTTCAGGAGCGCAAGCCGCTGCTCCAGGCTGCGCCCAACTCCTCGCTGAGCTCAGACATGCTCAGGCACTGGAAGACTCCCTCCATATATATATATATATTATATATATATATATATATAGAGCTCGTCTTGTGTACCAACCGCGAGAGCTTGCAGCGCGACTTGATCGGGGCCCAAGTGTGGCCGATCGCCCATAGTA